GGGGTGCAAACTGTTGAAATCTTTACTTAATGCATGCTAAACTGATCTTCTGTAAAAAAAAAAAAAAAGAAAAGAAAAAAAGAAATTATCAATTCCCAACTTGACTCTCACTGGGATTAAACATGACAATAGGTCTGCTCTGATTTCATCATCATTTAAAAAAAATCATCTATTATTTTTCACTTTATGTTTCTGTGTGGGAGCAAACTGTTGAAATCCATACTTAATGTATACTAAGCTGATCTTCTGTATATTAAGATAATCGAAAATGAATCTTGATGTGAATGGAAGGGGAGAGGGAGTGGGAAAGGGGAGGGTTGTGGGTGGGAGGGACGGTATGGGGGGGAAGCCATTGTAATCCATAAGTCGTACTTTGGAAAATTATATACATTAAATAAAAGTTTAAAAAAAAAAAAAAAAAAAGAAAAGAAAACTACAGACTTATATCCTTAATAAACATAGATTCTCAACAAAATACTAGCAAATTGCATCCAAAACCACATCAGAAAGATGATATATCATGATCAAGTGGGATTCATCCCAGAAATAAAAGTATGGTTGAACATTCACAAATCAAAAAACATCGTAAATCACATCAATAGAATGGGAACAAAAAACAGATGGTCATCTCAATATTCATAGAAAGTTTTTGGTATGATTCAATACTTCATCATGAAAAAAAATCCACATCTTAGGTATAGAACAAACATTCCTAAAATATTATAAAGGCTATATATCACAAACCAACAGGCAAATATCATATTGAATGGGGAAAAACTGAAAGCATTTCCTCTCAGATCTGAACGAGACAAAGTTGTCCACTTCGCCACTCTTATTTAATATAGTATTGTATGTTTTAGCAAGAGCAAGTAGAAAGAAGCAAGAAATAAAGGACATCAACTTTGGAAAAGAGGAAATCGAATTATCTGTGTTTCAGATGACATGATGTTGTGCATTCCACCAAAAAGCTATTAGAATTGATAAACTGGTGTTGCAGGTTACAAAATAAGTGTACAGAAAAGCAGCTTTTTGTATGCTAATGACGAGCTCACAGAAAGAGAAATCAAAAAAGACATCCCATTCACAATAACCACAAAAAATTAAATATTTAGGTATAAATTTAACCAAAGAACTGAAAGATCTCTACAGTGAAAATTATCAAATATTGATGAAAGAAATCATCAAGGATACACACTAAAAAAGGAATGATGTTCCTTGCTCATGGATCAGAAGTATCAATAATATTAAAATGTCTATGCTACCTAAAATAATCTAGATATTCAATGTATTCCCTATCACAATACCAATGACATTCTTTACAAAGTTATAAAAAATAATCCTAAAACTCATATGGAATCACAAAAGACTCTGAGTAGTCAAAGCAATTCTGAGTAAGAAAAACCAAGCTGGAGGCTTCAAAATATGTTCTTTCAAAGCATACTACAAAGCTATAGTTTAAAACAGCCTGGTACTGGTAAAAAACCAATACATAGATCAATGGAACAGATTAAAGAGCCCAGAAATTAATCCACATATATAGAGTCAATTGATTTTTGACAAAAGCCCTCAGACAATACAATGGAATAAGGATAATCTTTTCAACAAATATATAATCTCATAACACAGATATGAAAATTATCATACCACAGGCACTTAGATTTGGGTATCTCCTTAGTCCTTATATGTAACTATTTGTAATATTATATTATATAAGCTATTTGTAATATTATTCCCAGGCACTACAAACAAGCAAGCAAAAACGGTAGCATGATATACTACCAAGAATATCTCTTGCATTTTTCTTGTTTTCTCAAAGTATTCCGCTGTGATCTCTAAAACTCAGTCTTGTGTCATTTCAAATTAGCAGCCCCCCTATTCTGATATAGAGTTGAAAAATAATTTTGTTGAACATAATCAAAGCCCTCTATAATATGATTTTGCTATATTGGAAATAAGGATATCTCACAAGAAGAGGAATGCACAGAAAATGTCATTTCAAATGAACTCTCCAGAAACATTATTTTGGGAACTAAATACTGTCAAGAAGATCCATGAGCTAAGCACAGTCATCTTTCTTAAGGAGAGGCTTATGCAGATATCACTGTATTCAAGGTGCGACTGAGGGCCAAAAGCAGTAAATACTCAGTTGTCAGAGAACTGAAAGGAGATAAAAATAATTCTAACTGGAAGGGTAAGAAAATTCACTTAAATCACAGAGAAACAGGTATAATGGCTACGAAGAAATTCAATGACAAAAAGGAAGCTGACAAGGTTGATGGAGCTACATGACTAAAGGGTACACAACAGTCATGCTCCAGAATAAAAAAATAAAGGAGTTAAAGAGGCATAAGTATTCATATACAAATTATTTTTAAACTTTCTTTAGTGTTGCGATTGTGAACTCCCTCTGTAATGGATCTATAGCTTTTGAAATCTACAGGGGATGCACATGAATGAAGAAAAAATATATTATATTACTCAATATGCTGCAAGACATAAAAGTTACATCTCTTGGGGGGGATGTTTTGGCTTTTTCCACAAGTGGGCTGAATAATTTTTTACAGATTTGCAGAAGAGGGACTGGAGATTATAAAGGGCAAGTGAATGTGGATGAGATTGACCGTATGTCTTGAAAAATAAGAAGAAAATATGTTCAGTGTTGATGCCACAATAATGCTTTGAGGCTGGCTCTGAGGTAACTGAGGCACAGAGAGGGTAGGTAATGTCATCTTCACACGGCTGTGAGTCAGGCACAGCTTAACAATGTGGCTAAAAATAGCCAGCATGGAAAGTGAACCAGTAACCTCCTCATTTAAAAGGTACTATTTTTACATAAAAAAATTCCACAACTAAAATGTTTGTTTTTCTTACACACTCCCAAATCACATTATATTATTGCAGACTTTTAAGATATTCTGTGTTCAGTACCTACACAGAGATTAAACCACACATATATGTAAAATACAATTTCTGCCATGGTTGAAAAGATAAAGAGTATAGGAATAACATAAATATCAGACAAGCTATTAATGCTAATCTGCAAAAGAGACCGCTATATAGCACATTAACTTAAATTTATTGAACCATATCTTCACCAATTGGATTTTTCTGTTATTGTTTTTTGAAAAATGACAGATCTCCAAAACAGTCTCATCTAAATGCTTCCCTTTACTGTGATAAACCAAGAAAAATAATATTTTTTATTGTTTATTTCACTGAAAGGACTTTATTCATAGAAAAAACTCATCAAAGGAACAATTAGTAATTTCTTTCACATATTCAAGGTATTATAAAGCCCAGTTTGAATAATGGGTTTAAACAAATGTAGCAATGCCATAAAATAGCAAAACTGTGGTGCTCTAAGTCACCACACTTTATGAGAGAAGCTGCTCTCTTCTCTTAATTAACACTAAGAGTCAGCAAGGTGTGATTTCCTGATGGGTCGGTGACATTTGAAGACTATTCTTTGCTTCACTTTTTCTTGGCATCTGTATCATCCTAATCTACAATTTGCCCATATCCAATTTAATCAAAGTATCAGGGATTTTGGCAATAAGTGGTAAGAAAAACCCCTGAGATTACAGATTTTTATTAGCTATTTACATTACAGGTTCTCAGTGTTTCTGGGCACACTCCTAGAGATTTGCCTTTAGAAATGGGGCGGGCATACACAGCACCCAATAATTGTCCTAAGGCAGGGTTCAGAGACCCAGGTCTATCCACTACATTACTTGAAATGAAACTTATTTCTCAATGCCCACTGCAAACTTTTTCCTGGCATAGTACCTCCAAACTGGAGTTCCTCAGCATTTAAAAAGCAATGAAATGACCCTTTGCTCTATCTAAAGCAGGGTAGTGGTGGAAGTTGGGGAAGATACTGCTTAAGCCAATGGTTCTCATATGTAGATGCATGTTAAATCTGGGACTTTAAAAATTACTGACCACTGGAGTCCAATCCAAGATAAGCTGATTTAGCAGATCTGTGACTGGGTCCCAGATGTCAGGATTTATTTTTTAATGATCCTATGTGATTCAAAGGTGCAGTCACTGGTGAGAGCTCTTTTTTTTTTTTAAGTACTTTTGTGAAGATGAAGTTTGATAGTGTTTATATTCCTGGAAAAATATATTTTCATATCAAATCTGTGGTGTGTATTGAAATGCATTACAAGATATCCTTAAAACCTAGAAATTATTTTGCTGGGTTTTTGATGCTGCTGTTATTTTTAACAATGTGATTATCCTACCCAAGAAACAGACAGGGGACTGGTGTTGTGGCATAGTGGCTATAGCCATTGCTTGTAGCCTTGTGGCACCAGCATCCTACACAGGTGCCCTCTCAAGTCCTGGCTGTTCCACTTCCAATCCTTCATGCTAGTGTGCAGGAACAAGAAACAGAGGATTGCCCAAATCCTTGGGCCATGGCACACATGTGGGAGACCTGGAAGAAGCTCCTGATTCCTGGCTTCCGACTGGGCCAGCTCCGGCCTTTGAGGCTACTTGGAGAGTGAACCAGCAGATGGAAACTCGACCTTTCTCTCTCTCCCTCTCCCTCTCCCTCTCCCTCTCCCTCTCCCTCTCCCTCTCTCTCTTTCTCTGCAACTCATTCAAATAAACAAAATCTTAAAAAAAAAAAAAAAAAAAAAAAAAAGCTAGGCTCTGTTCTAAAATGATGTTCTAAAATGATTTTACAAACCAGGCTACAATTTTCAATTCACTTTCTAATGTTTCAAAGAATTCAAAATCTAACTTAAGTCCCTTCTATTTGATCATAAACTCTCATACCAATACTATCATATTTTAAAGCTTATTTCCTAATTTACAGATTCTGTTACTACATACTATTTATTCACAGTTTGTCTGTTTCTAGGAGTTGTCTATTCTAGGATTTGCCATATTTCATAACAGATTCAGAAATATATCTTATTTTTCTTTTAAAACAACTTTTCATTAAAGACAGTACATTACTCTATGTTATTTTTAGAAGCACAAATAAAACATACCTTGCTTTTTGCTCTGGTATCCGGAATCTTAGAAGCAATTGTCCTGGGTGGAAGTGATGTGATTAGACTCAAAGGGGGAGGTTGGTCCCGAAAAACAGATGTCAGACAGAGCTGTACAGTCTCCTTCATCGCCTTCATTTGTGACTCCTACAAAGTAATAAATTCTTTTATTCACACGTGTCTCTGGACCTCATTCATCCTCTTTTTCAACCTTCCCTTGGAGGCTACGCTCACACCCCATAAAAATGCTATCAGTTTTCAAATATGATTGTGGAATTTATAAATTGCAAATGATATACTACTGATCTATAATACATATGTTTCTAAGAGCTGGGGTATTCCATAATATCAACATTCAGAAATATGTCTTAGTTTATCCCTTTAACTGACATGATTCCAATCATGATAGTTTACTGGAAGGCAAATGTACTCTAGATTGTACTCAAGTAGAAATTATTCTTCTTAGAAACTTGCCATCTTTATTTTGTCACCAACCTTCTTTATTAAGAATCAATTGCCTGCAGCCAGCGCCGCGGCTCACTAGGCTGATCCTCCGCCTTGCAGCGCTGGCACACCGGGTTCTAGTCCCGGTTGGGGCACCGGATTCTGTCCCGGTTGCCCCTCTTCCAGGCCAGCTCTCTGCTGTGGCCAGGGAGTGCAGTGGAGGATGGCCCAAGTCCTTGGGCCCTGCACCCCATGGGAGACCAGGAGAAGTACCTGGCTTCTGCTATTGGATCAGAGCACCGGCACCGGCCGCGGCGGCCATTGGAGGGTGAACCAACGGCAAAAGGAAGACCTTTCTCTCTGTCTCTCTCTCTCACTGTCCACTCTGCCTGTCAAAAAAAAAAAAAAAAAAAAAAAAGAATCAATTGCCTGGGTTGGTACTGTGATGATGTGATGATGTGAGTTAAGCTACTGTACAGGAGGACTGTATCCCAAATCAGAGTGCCCAACTGGAGTCCTGGCTACCCTGCATTTCCTATTCAGCATCCTACCAATATGCTTGGAAGGCAGCAGATGATGACTCAAATATTTGAGTTCCTATCACCCATCAGGGAGACCCAGATGGAGTTCTGGTTTCTGTCCTTACTCTGTCCTAGTCTTGGCTATGCAGGCATTTGGGGAAGGAAGCAGCAGAAGGAAGATTCTCTCTCTCTCTCTCTCTCTCTCTCTCCCCCCCCGCCTCTGCCTCTCACTCTGTTATTCTGTGTCTCCAATAAATAAATAAACCTTAAAAAATAGGATTAATACCCTAGCAACTCAGGCCTCTGTGTTTCTCATATTTGCCATTAACTCCACTAAATTTCATCACATGATAAAAATAAATTTATCTTTGATTTCTTCTGGACTTTGTTAGGTAATAGGAATTAATCTAGTAGGATAATAAACTATAATATTAACACTTTCTTATGTTAGCATATATTGTACAATATCACAAGCGTTTTCATGCATGAGAAATGATCTTTGCTATTTCTCTAAGAAAACAAAATCTAAAATTTTCACACAGGTAGTTTTCTGATTTAGATTACAAAGCAGACAGCTGTCTCTAACTCCCATCAAACCTCTAGTTTCTACTAATAGAAATACTTTAAAATTAATAATACTATTATATAAATATATATTTAAAAGGCTGAGCATGAATGAAAAAGACATTCTCAGTTACTAAAATGAAGAAATATAAAACTTTTTGGAAAAACTCCAGGGCTGTTTCCATGGTAGCTAATGCATAATTTAGCACAGAATCAGAGGCCTAAATGATGAGATGCTGTCACAGTAACATGCATTTAAGGACATGAGATGTGATCTTAGGACCATAAGAGATGAAGAGAAGGGTTAGCTATCAGGGCCAAGATCCACATGTAGAATTTCCCTTTAAGTGTTCCATGGATGAATAAACAGAAAAGTCTTTGGTCTCTGCCTGACAAAAGAATGTACTCCAACAAAAGTACTGTATTTTATACATTTTGCCAGAAGAATGAGCATATTTGAAAGGTTCATGGAAACATTTAGTTAAAAAACAAGTTTATCTTAGTTAAAAAAATTTAAATCCATGCATATTGTTTATTTTATGTACATATTTGCCATGAAAGTTTTGAAGATCTTTTTACATCTTTGTGCCCGATTCTTGCCCATTTCCTTCCAATAAAGCCCTCACAGTCAGCTTCTTAAAGTGATTTAGATCCTTCCCAAAACTTTTGACTATGTTTTCTTCTCTTAGGTGGTAAAGGTAATATTTATCTTCAGATGAAAGTGTCTGTTGATAGAACACTATTCAAGAAATATCTTCCTTTCAGCTAGTCAACAGATTATTTTTAAAGCAGCAATAACAGAAGTTACGAGTGAATACATTAGAAATGGGACAGACATGCTTTTCATTTTTATTCATCTTGCCCTGTCAAGTTGTCTAGGACAAAATAAGACCCTCAAGGGATGGAGGAGGGTTGTGAAGTGAACAGGAGAGGAGAGACCTTAAGGTGAGTGATGGCATTTAGAATTATTATTATTATTTTTTTTTACTCAAAGTAGTCCTTTTTTTTTTCCCCCCCGACAGGCAGAGTGGACAGTGAGAGAGAGACAGAGAGAAAGGTCTTCCTTTGCCGTTGGTTCACCCTCCAATGGCCGCCGCGGCCGGTGCACCGCGCTGATCCGATGGCAGGAGCCAGGTACTTATCCTGGTCTCCCATGGGGTGCAGGGCCCAAGTACTCGGGCCATCCTCCACTGCACTCCCTGGCCACAGCAGAGAGCTGGCCTGGAAGGAGGGCAACGGGGACAGAATCCGGTGCCCCGACCGGGACTAGATCCCGGGGTGCTGGCGCCGCAAGGCGGAGGATTAACCTAGTGAGCCACTACACGGGCCCTCAAAGTAGTCCTTCTGATACGCTACCCGTAGTGTGTGGAATCTTCCCTATCCTTCAACTTGTATTCTATTATTCACCTTGTTTGTTTTCTTCAGATGTTTTAATCACAGATTTCTAATTTATGTGCATACACAAATATATTTGCCTGGTCATTTATTTGTTTGAGAGGCAGAGAGATAGAGAGAGGATAGAGAAACAGAGACAAAGAAACAGAGCTGCTATTTCTAGATTCACTGCCCCAAAGCCCACAGTTTTTGGGACTGGACTAATCAAATTGGGAACCAGAAACTCAACCCAGGTCACCCAGATGGGTGACAGAGGTATCACCAAATTGTAAAAATAAATTATTTAATTTGTTTGAAAATCATGGTAGAGGACAAGGCACAGAAACAGATATTGCCCTTCTGCTGGATCACTCACCGAATAACTGCAACAGTCAAAGACCAGGTTGCAACTGGGTTTCAGGAATTCAATCCAGTTCTCTTTTGTGGGTTCCAGGGACCCAAGTACATGAGAAATCACCTGCTGTCTCCAGGGTGGGTAGTAGCAGAGAGCTGGGATCCGAAACAGAGCCAGGACATAGACCCAAGCACTCCAATGTGAGATGTTGGTGTCATAACCAGTATCTTAACTACGTTCAAATGCATGCCCCACAGTGACTGTTTTGTTCAAATTTTTATAGGCAGTATTTGGCTCAATCCCTTATACATTAGAAGGGACTCAGCACAAAATCTTTGAATCCATGACTTGAAAAAGATTAACTGAAAATAGTGTTCTACATGTCAGGGAAAGAAATTTACAAGTTGCTCAACAGAGAGTGAGAGAAAGGAACAATATTTCAAGTTATTCTTTCTGTTAGTTCTTTGCTGCTGTCTTGACTGATTCTTTCCCTTTCATGTCACTAAATGTTATAACAGGAGTAAATCACCAAAATGATATGAGTAATTTAAAAAGCTTATTCACATATTTAAAGTTAGACAGTGGAAAAAAGAAAGTAAGAGGTAGGAATATCTTGCCTAAGAGCCAAAGCAAATTTGGCTTTGGAATTTGAACTTTCAGTATTCCCATTATGAAGGGAGCAATGATGATCATAGCATTCATTGCATTCATGTTTCAATCCTCATATCACATTCCATATCCATACCTTCGATAGATAATAGTCTTAGGTATATGTTGATATGAGAGACACTGGTCAGAATAATGGCTGAGCTAAGATGCCCAACATAAATAAAAACATCAAATTAATGGTTTCAATGGTACATAGTGCTTGGAAACAACAAAATTTTTCAATGGGACATTAAAGGAGATATGTATATGTGTCATGTTTCTAATTACCTGAACCTTGGTGCAATCATCTTCCTCCAAGGCCTCCTGATACTGCATCAACATCGTGTAATGTAATATACAACTCATCACCTTTCATGGCCATAGTACTGGGCTATCTCTGCTGATAAGTTTCGATTTATGATGAACATTTTATCTTCTGGCATCACATACTTGTGATGGGCCCTCCTATTTTATATTCTGTTTTTATTTCTTTCCTGCACATTTGACTTTTCCTGACGGACTATAAAATGCTGTCAGCAACCCTGTCCTAACGTGGTCCTCTTTCTGCCTAACTCCCATTAAATCCTTCTAACTTAAAAAGACACTGTTACTAAAGCTAGTCAGAGTTGATTTCACCAATGTTCCACAGGCAGGACCCAGACAATGAGTTTACCCACAATGTCCTAACATTTCATGTATATTGCCAGGTGGGGTTTGTCTTGCAACTGTAGACTATGATTCACTTTGAAGTTACAAAGAGCAAGATGTTGCCTAATAAAATACAATGTAGACTGTATACAGAACATTTCTCCCAAGATCTTACAAAATATTCTCTTCCTAGGTCAGTCTTCCTTTTACCCTGTTTTTCCTTTCCCTACACCAAGTCATTTCCTCATTTATTTTACCTCATGCTAGTGAAACACAATCTCTTTAACTCAATTGCCTCATTTGTCACTCTGCCCTTTATTTAGAACCTCTCCACCAGCCTCTGCTCAGCTCATCTCAAAGCAAATACACTGTTTCCTCTGCCTGAAGAACCCTCTCACCAATTATCTGTCTAGGAAGTTTCCACTTAAAATTTGTCTCAGCTCATGTATTATCTTCCTGGAAAAAATTCCTGATAATCCTTTGCAAAGATGCTCTAACTTGTGTCTATTACATTTCCTAATTCTATGTTTAATTTAACCCTTAGCATCATTTTAAATTAGCTTGTTGCTTTAATTATATGTTTATCTATTCAAACAAAACTGTAATCTTACAGATTGGGCATTTTTGAGGGGACATCAGAGTTTCCAAATCCAGCAAGTATTTGTTAAATGAAAAAATTAAGCAAACTCTACAGAGGGTGTAGAGTGTTGTCCTGTTATATGAGAAAATAATTAAAAGGTTTCATTTTATCCCATATAATAAATAACATTATAAAATAGCATTTTACATTTTCAAATATACTGGAACATACCCTACATGACATAAAAACTTATGAAATCATTGTTGTATATGACCTTAACATGGTGAAAGATTTAGAAGGCAAATTTTTGGTGTGTGCATGTTTGTGCTTTCCTCATAAAAACAATATTTGTCTGTTGAAAATATGTATCTTGTAAGAATAATTTTGCCCATCATTTCTGATCTCCAATCATAAGAAAATCCACTAAATTATATTCAGTTCATCTTAATTCCTTTATATGATGACATTAAGACCTCAGAATGATCAGGTGTGGTAACAGCTGTTTGCCTTGGAAAGAGGGTTCTCACTCAGTCTTTATATTTGTCATAGAATCAGGTATATGAATCCTGGAATTATATAAACATTTTTGGATCTCTGCTCCAGGTGTTTCCAGGTCTCTTGTTTATAGGATTATTAGCATGTCTATTCATTTAGTAAGTTAGATCTTCATTTATGTATTCAATTAATAAATATTTATTATACTCATGCTTTAACCCAGACACTATCTTGTAGGAAAATATAGAAGAGTTAAAACATAGTTATTACTTAATCCTGGGTGTCTGTGTAGTTGGCTTAACTTGTGTTTGTAGAATAGATTCAATATGCCTGGTGTCCTGAGCATGACCTTAACATGGTCAGATCCTATACAAACTTTTTTGTAGAAGTTAAATTTTGAGAGATTTACATACCCAAAAGCTGTATTTGTATTCCGGTACCTGAGGTTAAGTAGAATTCATAAGAAATTGCCAAATGAATAATTGATGGTTTGAAAAGTTGAGGCTGATTCATATATATTGACATTATTATTGTTTACATTGGAATAATAATACTGGAACTTTTTTCACTAAATATGCCATGAGATCCAGTTTGCAATAAGGAGCTGTTATTTTCATAACTTTTATGAAGCATTTAATGTTATTTGAAGCCAAGATACAACAATCTTAAGGAGTGAGATGCTTGAAGAATATAAAAAAGTCTCATATAAATATGATGGAGAGAGGTGAAGAGCAATTTCACTAAACTACAGTTTTGCTCCATTTTGAAGTGAGCTTGCATTTCTACTTGATTTTATGACTGCTGTTTATGAGCTTCAATGTATATTTTGCACACGATTTGTTTAAATCATCCTCCAGCTCTGGTAGTTCACCCTACCTGAAGCAGTGACAAGATCCTGAGGCTAAAAGGGATTTTTTTTTTTTAATCACAGAGAGGCATTTACTGTGATTTCATTCACTAATAATAATAATAATGATAAAATAATAATAATAATGAAACTTTCTGAGGTTTTTGCATGTACCAGGCATTCTTTCCAATGTTACATGATTATAACTTTCCCATCACCCTCATAAAGTAAGTACTGTTGCATATTATTTCCAGTGACACATAAAGAGTTTGAGAGGGGTAGGCATTTAGTCAGGTGTTAAGATGACTGTAACCTACATCAGAGTACCTGGGTTCAATACGCAATTCTGGTTCCTGACTCCAGCTTTCTCCTAATGCAGAATTTAGAAGATAGCAATAATGATGCAAGCAATTGGGTTACTGTCACCCATAATGCAGATATTAATTGGGTTACCAGCTCCTGGCTTTGGCTCTAGGACACTTCCAGCCACTAGGGGTATTTTTTTTCTCTGTCTCTGTTTCACTCACTCTCACACACACACACACACACACGTATATAAAACTAAATAAATAAATACTTTAAAAAATGTTTCAGGGATTTGAATGTTTTTGCATTGTTACCATTATTAAATATTTAACATAAAAATCTGATTTTTAATTGACATCAATATAATAGGTGTATCAATACTGGTATAAATATGTTTTCTTATAAATTTTCGATTCCATTGCAACCTATGACTATAGAAAGCATATGAAATATACACATTAAATCTCCTAATAGTAACCAGTTGTTTCTCCTTATTGATATGGACATTGCTACATTTAATGTCCCTTTGCTTGTTTCCAAGTATGTACAGGTAAGTGCTAATTCTATCATACACACGTTTAAAAAGTGGTTATAACAATTTGCTCTCAATGAGTACTTCCGTTTGCTTCATAACGCATTCATCCAGAGTTAATACATGCTATCTTATTTGGTGCTTTAAAGCATGTTTATTCACGGGGTTATAGAACAAATGTACCAGTAAGGTGAAAAAATAAAGTCATGAACTCACAGAGACTGAACCGTCAGTCAATTTACGGTAGCAGCAAAAACAAGGGAAAAAATGGATTCCAAAGGGAATATCAAACATTCATGAATTCCATAACCATCTCATATGCACAGCATCTTGAATTGCATTAATAAATCAAGGGAAGCAATGAGCATACTCCAGCTATTTTTGCTTAGACCAAAATTCTGATATTCAGTGAATATAAACTTACCCTGTCAAGAGCTGCTTTCTCCAGTTCATTTTTGGCTACAGCTAATTTTTGTTCCAGATCAGTAAGTTGTTGGGCCTGTAAAATGAAAAGTAAATTTTTCAGTCAGTTCCATCATCTTGACCCTCTCTAATTGAAGAATCTGTCATTCATTGTCAAGGAGTTTTTAGAAAGAGAGAAAGAAAAAATAATTATATCCTATAGAATTTATTTAGAATTCAGTATTAAAATGCTATATTACATGATCAATTCATCAGTGTTCAAGAAATGGTGTATTCTAGGTAAATGTGCTCTAAAAGCTTCATTGGGCCAAAATGTACAGTTGCTAAGACCCAGTTCAAGTCCTTCAAAAGATTTGTGGCTTCTAATGTAAATTGTATTCCCTGAAAATTCTCTTCAATGTGATTGTCTTTGGAGATAGAGTTTTTCTTTTTCTCAGTTAAGGTTAACTGAGGTCCTGTGTGTGAGACTCATAGTACACATGTCTTTGTAAGCAGTGGAACACACACCAGAGATCTCTTTCTGTGCTCACAGGGTGGAAATGCGACGTGAGACACTATTTGAAAGTCATGAAGAGTTCCCACCAGAAACCAAATCTGCAGGGGTTCATCCTGGAACTACCAGCACCCAGAACTGTATGAAAATCAATTTATGTTGTTTAAGCCACCTGATCTACAATATTCTGCTTAAGCTTGGAAGCACTAACATCAGTATTAGTTTTTTGTACTAACATTTATTAAATATTTATGATTGAGCGTTAATACCATATATGACTTTAACCCACCATATGCATATCTGCAACTTTGCAAATACCATTACTGCAGTGGTTAAAGGAAAAGAACACTTGTATTTCTTCTCCTGAGAAGTATCCTGTCAGATCCCTTGTATATTGAAAAACTTTCTTTCAAAAAACTTTTAACTTAACTGACACAAAAAATTGTGCAAAGTTTTGGGATGATGTTTTGGCACATGCATACATTATGTAATGTCCAATCAGGGTAAACAAGTCTGTAGTCTCCAATACTTATAATTTACTTATGGTGAGAACATTTAAAATCTTTAAAATCCTTTCTTCTAGTTTTTTAAGAAAAAAAATATAGTAGATTATCATTATCAGTAGTCAATGTACTGTGTAATAGAATGCCAGAACTTCATTATTCCCATCAAATTATAACTTAGTATTCATTAAATAGCCTTTTTCCACCCCCCCTACATCTCCTTCTCTCATTTTTCTCCAAGCTCTTGTAACAACTCCATGTGAAAGAAAGCATAGAATTTCCTCAAAAAAACTAAAAATAGAACTATTATATGATCCAGCAATCCCACTGTTTAATATCTATGAAATCAGTTGGTCAAAGAGAAATGAATGCTTCCACCTTAATTGATGTTCTATTCACAGCAGGCAAGAAATGGAAAAAACCTAATTGCCTATTCACTGACAAATAGATAAGTAACATGTGACACATACAACATAATATTAATCAGCTGTTAAAATGGTTAAATTTGGACTTTTTTTTTTTTCCCACCATCTGACTCATAGCTGCTGTTCTGTTTTTTTTTTCTCCCCCAAATTGTGCTTAAAAGACTCCATACACAGTTTCTTGGGTCTACCTCTCCTGGAGCCCTCCTCCTGGCTGCTGTGGCTGGAGGTCTCTATCTTATTTAAATAACTTTTGCTTTGGGAAAGAAAAAAAAAAGGGGAAGGGGGAGAGAAATAAGGATGAAAGAGAAGAAGAAAGAAAGAAAAAGTTTGAACTCTTGTCATTTACAACACAAACAGTCAAGCATAAAAAGAAGAACTGCATAATGATACTCATATATGGAACTTCAAAAAGTTGATTCTTTGCCCATTTCTTTGGATTGCTTGCTTTTCTGTTGTTAGTTCTGCATATTAATTCTTTGTTCAATTAATAATTTGAAAATATTTTTCACATTCTGTTTGTTGTGTCTTAATCTGTTGATTGTTTCCTTTGCTGTGTAGAAGCATCTTAGTTTGTCTACTTTAGTGTTTGCTGCCTATGTTTCTGTGGTTATACAGAAGCAGGAAGTTTCAGTGTTTCCACAGTACAGTGGGGTGAATACAGTGCACAGTTGGGTATTATATGGAGTTTTGGTAGGATTCAGGAAAAGTGTGTATTGGGAAGATGTGTATTGTGAAAGAATTAAGCATGAATTTAAAAATGTTTTCACACCAAAGTGAACTTAATTTTCTTTCCATTTGTTCCATAAACTTTTTGATATAACATGGTATACATTAAGGAGAACAAGAAGAGAGGAGTTGGTAGATCCAAACATAAAGAAAAGATAAGGAAATGGAAATGTTGAGCACTTGATATGATATGTTTCCACTATATACATGAGCTGAAATATTGCATAGTGTGCCCCAAAAACATACCAGTATTGCCTATTAATAAAAATTTTGAAAATAAAATTGAAAAAAATAAATTCCTCAAATTTGAAAATTATGTTTTCAAATCCTGCCTCCATCATTCCCTAACTGTATCACTTTGGATAATGCACTTGACATTTTTGAATTAGAGGTGATAATACTTCTCTACACCAAACAAGTAGAACTCAAATGAGAAATATGAAATCTGAAGGTTTCATATTCATTACACCTAGAGTATTTGCACAATCTTGATCCATTCCACTACTACTCCATTCATTCATTCACACTCTAATTAATCCCCACATATTCAATTATTCTAGGCACTGTGGTAGGTCCTAGCAATTATAGAGATTGCTGCAAAAAAAAAAAAAAAAGACACTAGAGGCTCAATGTGTTTATCTCCTCCAGTTGACTGTGGTATCTCTTGAAAAGCAGCATCATCAAATGCATATGCTTTTTGAAGACTGCCATAATAATTAGCTATAAACATTCATCCAATTATGTCATAATGCAGCAACTACTACCGGATTTGTATAACATTTCAGGAACTATTATTGGCACTAATGGTGTAATAATGAAGCAAAAATTTTCTTTCCTGAAGAAGAGAAAATACATATGTCTACACACACACACACACACACACACAAAACTGCTAGCAAGCTGACAAAGCTACAAGAGGTAGTAGAGGACCAGTGCTGCAGTGTAATAGGCTAATCCTCCACCTGTGGCACCGGCACATCGGGTTCTAGTCCTGGTTTAGGGCACCGGATTCTGTCCCGGTTGTCCCTCTTCCAGGCCAGCTCTCTGCTGTGGCCCTGGAGTGCAGTGGAGGATGGCCCAAGTCCTTGGGCCTTGCACCCCATGGGAGATCAGGAGAAGCACCTGGCTCCTGGCTTCGGATCTGCCTGATGTGCCAGCCGCAGCGCGCCAGCTGCGGAGGCAATTGGAAGGTGAACCAACAGCAAAGGGAAGACCTTTCTCTCTGTCTCTCTCTCTCTCTCACTGCCCACTCTGCCTGTCAAAAAAATTTAAAAAAATTAAAAAAGAGGTAGTAGAGAATGGGAAGGAATTTATTAATGACTCATATCCCAAAGCTCCACTTCCCTTCTTGCTGTTCCCATATGCTAGGCACTGTGACTTTGCATATCCTACCATTAACAAGTAAAGGGTATTTACTTCTTGTAGATTCTGACTGAATTCTTGTAAGTTACTTGGTCAATCGGATGCAAAATATTCATAAGAAATTGGTTTGCTCTCTCACTTTTCCGACATCACTGTGAGGAAGCCATGACTGAGCTAACCTGCTGGTGCAGAGCTACCCCACTTGAGTTCCCATGGAAAAGCTGAGCTTAAACAAGCCTTCTGCAGGATAAGCAAACCTGTAATTAGCACATCCAAGATCACTGAGTCTTAGTCAAACTACAAATGTTTCTAATATATTAGTCAGTGAGTATTGCTTTTAGCCTCGGAGTTTGAGTTGTTTGCTTCACAGTATAAATGACTGATAGAGACATGCGTTATCTAGAAAACTTTTCATTACATGAGTGTGATCAGTAACATAAATAATGAAAGAATAAGTTCTTTTTGGAATCTTTAAGACACTTCCATAGAAATAATTGCAGCGTTTTGAGTGGAAACAAAGGCAGTGTATCCAGAGTGAACTGAACAAGGGAAAAGTGTTAGCAAAAGAAGATACAGATGGGAGAAAATAATGCAGTGCTGTTCCTCCCATGAGAAGAATATCATTTTAAGTCAGTGAATAAATGAGGAAATATGAGAAGTTTCAAATCAGGTTTGAATCTCATTTATTCCATTTTATAAGTGGCGACATTATGTGTGATAAAAATGAAGGACCACCTAGACATTGCTTCCCCTTTTTCTACATGTGTAAGAAAGCAGTATTTCTGAAGTTACCTGTTGCCTTCCAAATTTTTGTTCCCTACATTTGGGATACAAGAGGAGAGAGATAATAAGAGATGAACTGAAGAACTGAAGTACTAGAATTTGAATGCTGACTCTTAACCAGCACCATTTGGGTAAAGCGTTTAAGTTCTGCACACCTCCGTTTCCTAAAACGTTTCCGTTTCCGTAAACAAGAACATAAGGAAACTCACCTTATAGGACCATCAAAAGTATTAAATGAGTTAATATTTATAAAACATTTAGAATAGTATCAGGTTCATACTAATACATAATTATTTGGTGAGTAATGAAGATTATTTTACTTGGCATCTTATGTTATAAAGGAAACAATACTACTATCTGGGAATTTTGTATCAATCAGGGCAGGAAAAATGAATTACGGCAGACACAACAAATATTCTTTTGTAATTTTATTGTCGGAGTCAGCACTGTGGCATAGAGGATAAGGCCAGAGCCTGCAGTGCCCGCATCCCATATGGATGCTGGAGTCCCGGCTGCTCCACTTCCAATCCAGTTCTCTGCTCTGGCCTGGGAAAACAGTAGAAGATGGCCCAAGTAATTGGGCCCCTGCATTCACGTGGGAAGACCTGGAGGAAGCTCCTGGCTCCTGGCTTCAGATCGGCATAACTCCAGCCATTGCAGCCGATTGAGGAGTGAACCAGCGGATGGAAAACCTTTCTCTCTCTAACTCTTCTTCTCTCTCCGTGTAAGTCTGACTTTCAAATAAATAAATAAATCTTTTTTAAAAAAACAAATTTTATTTATA